TCTAAGGTAACAAAACCACAATGATTATTACTTGCAGGTGATTATACACTAATGAAAACATACCTATGAATAGCCCTTTCTGACAATAGATCCTCCTAAATTAAATGGGTTTTTTTTACCTTAAAATGAGCCGTTTTTATCTACAGACACCACGGGTCGACTTCCACAGAGCTGCATGTTTCTACAGCACCCCAGAACGGACAAACCAAACTCTCTGTGTTTTTCAATTCTGCTTAAAGCCACTAAATCCTACACGCACTGGACCTTTAAATATAAATATAAATATAAACAAATAACACAGTTTGGTAAGTACTCAAAAAGTCTTAAGTGTCAATACCAAGCCTAAAGGGTTGAATCCTTAGCAAGAATAAATGAATGTGTGAGTTGCATAGCCTGGTTCCAGAAACCTCTGATCACATCTCATGTTTTTTTTTTAGAAATCCAAACACAATAATGAGTTGAATTCAGTATGAATTTCAGGGTAGTTCCTCTCAGCTTTAATGCATCAGTGTAGATAATAGAGATGTTATCTTCCTACTGGATGATGGAAAACAAATGGAAAAACAAGTGAAGAAAAAGCATGCTCACCTTTAAATCCCTCTTCAGGCATTCTCACTGTGAAGGAAGTAGATGAGAAAACAATATGATCATAATATAGCTTTTTTTAAATCATGGTAGTGTAGCAGCTATAGTGGAGGTGAAGATAATTCCACTTACCCTGATAGACATCATCCATTGCAGCATAGTCTGCTATTGGCTCGTCTGCCTGTAAGGAAACAATGGAATTTGGATTAAAATGATAATGTCTGGAATCAAGATGAAAGCAGCAGTGGGTAAGGTGTCTGTGCAGAAAGGAAGTAGGAAGTACCTTAAGACAGATGATGCTTTCGGGGATGACACCCAGACTGCCCAGCGTGGCCGAGTCGTCTGTCAGACTTTTTCCATCAATGGAGAGGTTCTGGTCAAACGGAGCCACGGAGAAGGCGTGCATAATCTACAGGGTCAGAGGAAAGTTAGTTGAGTGAATACAGACTACTCTTTACCTATAGAGTAATCACTATCTATCCACAATCTCCATTACTATTATTACTATAATCTCTATAGTTCTGGTTAACAGCGTCCAACTACATCTGTAGAATTACTGACTGTGACATGTGTAGCAAACATGGAAGTGCCAAAACTTGCAGTTCCTCTACTGGCCACTTGAGGCTGGCTCCAGCAGTGAGTCAATCTCCATAGGGCCCCATATTAAAATGTCTACAATGTTTACAGCCTGGTACAAAAACTCTTTGGTCTCTATAGCTAATATCCCCGTTCATGACAACTGCACAGGGGGTGCATAATAATACAACCCAAGTTATGCATGATTAATGGTGTGGCTGTTCTGAGTGACAGGTGGATGCTGCACAGCCGGCTGCTTTCAGTAACCATTTAGCTCCATCTCTTTGTCCATTTTTAGATCAGCCGAGAGTTGGTGGAGTCAGGACTGCCAAGATGGGGAAGGCCAGAGCCGACCACACTGAGCTACAGAAACCTATGGGTGACGTCACAAAGACTACATCCATTTTTAGTTCTATGGTTTATGGTAACCAGTTCATGTGAACAAACTTCACTCTGTCCATCCTCAAGACACCATAAACAATTTCCTTATCACATTCATTTGAAATGCTTCAGGCGTGTATCCAGTCATTTGGAGCACTCACCTGTATTTTCAGCTCTTTCAGTGTCTGATTAGCTGAAACGATTAGTGCTTTCTCTCCTCTGAGTTTCCTGTGTCGGGTACTTCTCCTGATTCCTCCTAGTTTGGTCACGTTGGTCACAGGAACAGCTGCTGCAGAGGTTGTGCTGCTGTCACTCAGCTTTAGGCGTTTTGCACCATCTTCTGACTGAAAGGAAGCAATGTGATTATTAGCTATTAGGGCTGGCAACAGATGATACCTCTATGCTTCATCTTTGCTAAAACCAAATAGTAGCTCAACTGTCCAGACAGATTGTTTCAATAAAACTAAAAATGTGTACTGCAATCATTGTGGTTGAGTGCTGCTAGTGTATTTTTGCTGCTCTAACTCAACCCAGTTAAATGTGTTACATTCTTGACATTAAGTTATCCTTTATTGATCCGCAGAGGGACATTTTTGAGTACTGGGGAAAACAGGAGCAAGCCCAAGACCTTGTTGTCTTGTGCTAACCATTGAGCCACCTTGCAGCCCCTAAATTGCACCGGATAATTAACCTCTATATATTTACACTTACACTAGCTCTGCTCAAGCACTCATAGCGCTCTCCCACAGTTGTTTACATACTATTCATTTCTGCTGAGTTGGGTTGAACTTTCTGAGTTGTGAGACTGCTGTCTGTCAGGGAGTGCATTCAGTGCAGAGGTTCGTGCCCGTGCGAGACAAGACACCCCCTCCCTCAACTCAATTATACAATCAAATTTAGTAAAGTGGTTGTCAGCCCTAGTGAGTGATATACTGTATGTGTGGTGGAATCCTTCCATTTACAGCTATAGTGTGGTTGGTAATGGACACACCTGGCTGAAGTCTGGGTCTCTCTCTCCATCCACCTTTGGCTGTTCTTCCTTCTCCTCCTCCGCCTCAGAGCTGCTGGCATTCAGTTCTGGAGCTGCCTCCTTTATCATCTACGTAGGGGACAACGTGAAAACGCAAATGTATGGATCTCATTATTTAGACATTATATGGAAGAATACAGTTGGACGACCTATAAAGTCCTTTTTTCTGTACCCTCTTGTCTTCGATGACTTTGCGGATGTAGATGGTTGCTTGGGTATACTCTCTGAGGTCCCTCTGCTGCTGGAAAAGGAAGCTCTCTCTGCACTCCCAACACAGATCTGCACACACACACACACACACACACATCAAATGAATCAAAGACATTGAGAAGCCAAAGTGTCAACGCAACAGTCTACCTAAAAGTATCAAACTGTGTGTTACAAATGTCTTTATAAAGCTGCTCATATAAATGTATCAGACAGCTCCTCCTGCATAATCC